CAATTAATTCCGTTGTAACCTCTCCAATATCTCAATTCTGTCGTCAATGGTTCATGGTGTCAAGTTAGCACTACATACTAAATTTTGTTCGAAAAAGGGTCAACTCAATTTTTTCCAGAAAAACGAAAGCTACAAATTTTTTCTTTTCACAACAAATTTTAAAGTTAAAAGCTACAATTAATGGCATAGTAACATATTGGATATCTCAATTCTATCGACTAGGTGTATGGTGTCAAGTTAGCACTACATACCATATTTAAAAAAAAAAATGAGAGCTAAAAATTTTTTCTTTCCACAACAAATTTACAACACAACCACTACAATTAATGCCGTAGTTAACTTTTCCAATTTCGAAATTATTTTGATATTATTTCGATATTTTGCTCATGCTTGTGTTATTGGACAATAATTTCTGCTGCGTATGGCGACAACTGCGAAATTTTTAGTCTAGTTTTGATTTTGGTGTCCATATCGTGCCGTAAAATATTAATAAAAGCGCAGAAAAAAATACTTATTTTTAATAAATTTTTTTTTTTACGTTTTAATGCTGAAGCTATCAAAATATACAACGCACATTCATATTTCCTGCATATATTTACTTGAGCAACGTTTCTTCAAAAAAAGGTTAACGCAATTTTATGCTGTAGTAATTTCCACAATATTGACTTGTACAAGTCTCGGCTCGCGCAAGTATTTTGTGTGGTTTAGGAGCCTTATAAGTTTGTTTTTCATTATGCATTTAACAGACAGAAGCAAGAAATATACATCTTTTTTATAACTATGGATTTAATTATAAAATTTTATTTATTATTTGTTTTTTAAATAATAGTTTAAGAAACAACAGTTTTGTTTGCTTTTGATACTTTTTCTGCTGGCAACTGATAAATTTTTTTCAAGCTCGCGGCAACGCTGATCACGATGTGTGTTTGTTATTCATAGTGGACGTGATGTTAACTCCTCTGCTCTGTTCCGGGTCGCCATGTTATTCATAGTGGTCGTGATGTTAACTTCTCTGCTCTGGTCCGTGTTGTAATATTACGTCCGCCGAAGAAAAATAAATTTGTATGTGGTGCGTCTTCTGTATATTGTTTATTCTGTGATACGGCTTTGTACCTATATGTATACATACTTAAGTTTGTATGTACATACAAATGTATGAACTCATTTGATGCAACTGGTTTTGATATTCGTAGATGGTTTTAGGCATAGATTTAGTAGTCTATTTTGATAAAAAAGCAATGCGAAAATTAAAAAAAAAATACTGAAATCATTTTAACCGGGACCGTTGATAACTGATGAACATACATGAATATACAGGGTGTCCCAGAAGTAGCCTGCCAAACTTTAGGGGAAGGTAGGTGGGGTGGTGAGCTCCCTGATAAACAAAAAATTTTCAGTTAAATGTGTCACCGTTTTTGAAATATTCAGCCTCATTGCGAGAGTCGTGCCGAATGCACGTCGTTTTTCGAGAGTCGAATCGTGTCGAAAATTTAACGTCATTGCCTAAAATTTCCACTCGACTAGTGTATTAATACGGAAGAACTTGGCAGCACTGAATAGTTTTCGACAATTTTCGTCGTTTACTTATTTCAGCACGACAGTAGACAATGCTAATGTTGTCGAGTCGTACAATTCAGCCTAATTTACGACTTACGCAATGAGGCTGATTAAAATTTTGTTGAATTTAAAAAAAAATCGTGCCTTTTCATGTATTTTCTTTAACTGCATCTACAAACCAGGCTATACTTAGCAAATTTTTTATGTAAAATACTTCCAGATAGTTGCTTCTCCATACTCAAATGCAATGTAGTTAAAATATATTAAGGGACCATCATAAAATTATGACTATTTTGGGATTTTTAACTTTTTGATATTTTCTTCCCCAACTTTGACTATCTCTGGTGAAAAAAAATGTACTGAGCTATAACTTTACATTACATAAAAAAATTGCTCATTTAATAAGGATTTCAGAAAGGTGCCACTCTTACTGTTTCGAATAGAAAAAAAAAGTTATAGCCGCTTTTGTGGGCAAAGGACTGAGACACGCTAGAATGTATTTAATAGATTTAAATTTAAGTTGCTCTTGTTACCGACCAGTGACATGCTAAATAGTGCAAAGGTACATTGCTCCTGACAGAAAAAATCTAATAATAGCGCTTTTACGATTCTTATGCATAAATCTCGATGCCTGGAGTTCAAGGTTTTGCAACTGGTCGATGGGCGGTTTTGCAAAAACATCGACGATATGTATGGATGATATAATAGCTCTGATCCAAAATCTGTAAAATCCTGGAAAAAGGTTAAACAGCAAAATCACTCTCTGAGAGTAAAAAGTGAGTAACAGCAAAACGTACGGAACAACAAAAAGCATCGGGTAAAATCTCGCAACTTCAATCTCTACACAACTCTCCAAAAATCGCTCTCATTTACATGAACCACAGATTATAACCTGAAAAGAACAACTAAATTTAGGAATATATACAAATAGAAAATCTCAAACTATAAGCTCAAAACTAGTAATTGATGCGGTGTTTTCAAGATATTTTAACGCCCTTGAGTCACAAGTATATACAAGTATCATCTTTTATCACTCATACCGATAATTTCATGTATTAAAATAATTAAAAATGAAAATGAATAAAAAAAATTAAATCAGCAAAATTAGTAAAATTACGTGAAATTAATGTTTAATTTCTAACCTAGCTACATGCGTATGTATGTAACTGAATCGCCTAATAATAGATTTACATATAAAGAGATTATAAACATTTTCGAGCTTAATTCCCTAATCTGTAATTGGAAAAAGAGATTAGCCATACAAAATTATATATATAAAATTATCTCAGATTAAACCGATAACTTTTTGGTGTCCAACCTAGTTTTATCGATTCTACTTGCGAGAAAAGGAGGAATATCAAATGTAAAAGTAAACAAAAGTTGACGCTAGTAAGGAAAATAGGTTTGTAACGGAATTTTTAATAAAACATTCAGTTAAAATATATTTAAAAAGCATAATATGTGTAGCAGAAAAAAGTGACCACGGTGGCACAGAGAAGAAGTTTAACTTTTCCTCGAGTTGTGTGAATAACAAGCACAACCAAGTTGACAACTAACGAGCTTTGATTGAGATTATATTTATATGTAAACGTACTTTTATGCTTTGCCGTGCGCATATATTTACACATCAAATTTCATGAGTACTTAGTACTGACGCCTTTTTTTGTGTGGAGTGGCACAAATTGAAGGGTTTCTTCTTTCGCTATCCATAAAACGCCTTCCGGAAGGGCTTTATAGGACGTACTTCAGAAGGCCTTTTGGAGGAGTTCTTTTAAAGTTGCTTCTTTAATTTATAAAAATCATACATCTTTGAAGTATTTGCTTAAGGTTTATATCAAATATGTGTTATTGCAACTTAACATGTTTATTGGAATTCACTTGTAATGCTAAATAATATAAATTTATGCATTCGCGTAAATTATAAATGAATAAGCTCATCTAGAAGGCATGCAAGGAAGCACTTTTTCAGAACTTCTTGGGTAGGCTTCTAAGAATGGCTTCACTACTTAAGAAGGCCTACCTAAATTATCTTCTGGGTAGCAACTATTCCATCATTACACATTGTTGGCAAACGTATTAAATTTGTGGCAAAAGTAACTAAACTTGGGTTTATTATCAACACCGGCCTTACCTGCATTGACCATGTGAATTCTTACAGTTGAAGTCCCCTTCCAATCCAATTATAATGCCAATTATCTATTATTCTGATGAAGTAGTCTACAGCAGGTTAGATTCCCAATGGATTGCGCTTGGTGAACGCGCATACTCGGCTGCGAAATTTTCTGAATATCTTAAAGCTAGAAATTGTATATTCCTTTTTCGTCTCATGATGGATAAGGTACCCAAATGACTCTGTACATGTGTGTGAACATTAACGTTCCCCAAATCACCACGAGTAAAGGACTTGACTGTTCCTACCTACAATTATCTCAGCTCTGCACGGCTATTCTTTGTCAGTGCTATCCGCATCTGGAACTCTATTCCATCTCATATTCGCAGTAGTTTAAACAGAAGCAACACTAAAAATGTTCTGTATGCGTATTTCCGTTAGCTTCACTTCAATCCCTGAGATGTGCTCTCTATGTACTTGTATAATTAAGTCTTATTAACCGACTTCCAAAAAAGGAGGAGGTTATCAGTTCGTCGGAATATATTTTTTTTATGTATGTTACCGCATAACTTTGGACCACGTCAACCGATTTCGATAATTCTTTTTGCATCGGAAAGGTAGTGTCTCAGAGGCGGTCCCATACTAATCTGGTTGAGATCCGATCAGTGGATTATGAGATATATATATATATATACATATATATTTTATATGGGAGTTGAAGTCGGTTTTTTTTTTTGCTAAAAATTACTTGTTTCATGTATATGTCTTTGAATTGGAGGACTTACTTAAAAATACTACTTTCTCTGTTACTTATCTGATGTGACCTTTATTTAGTCTTAGGTAATTTTTGTAATTTTTATTGTTCTAGTTATATGTATGTATGTACTGTTATGAATATTTTGTTGCGCTATAAAAGATCTTTCTTTTGATCCTATTGTGCTAATGATTTCATTAATAAATGAAATGAAATATTTCTTGACCACATCTTCCCAAAACATAGTTGACTTTTAAAATCGGCAATGCATGGATGAGTGCATCAAGTACAAAAATATTTAAAAAAAAATCTAGTAAATATTCACGAGCTATACGAAACCTATTTCCATTTGACCCTACCTGCAACCTGCAATATGTTATGTTTCGGGTGTATTTTCACTGTCGCGCCGTATAATTTAGTCACAGTTACGAGTACATATAGGTATATTACTTAGCTTTATTTACTCTCCTTATTTCTCTTTCGCTTGGCTCGAATAATACTTTTCTTTATAGCTAAGTGGTTAGTACTCCTGGCCTTTGACTCTTTTTCTTTAACTAAGTAAGGATTTTTTCGTTTCAGATAATCGCACAGAAGCAAATTTGAATGACACATACCTTTCTTTAAATAACTTAAATATCAACGTTTACGAGTTATTAGATTATACAAATAATGTTCAACCAGTGGCTTTGGCTGTTGAAGTGCCAAAATTTCCAGTACATAAAAATACAAATTTAAATTTCCTAAAACCAGGGAGTAAAGAAGTTCTCACTCGTCCTGTGCACATATATGAATACCTTCCACCTATGTTACCAACAGATTTAAGTTGTGCATTGCCTCCGCATTATATGCAGCCTACCTCCTCGCTTTCTCACAACCAAGATAAGTACCGTGCGAACGCAATCGCAATTGGCGACATCAATCGAAAGGTGTCAACCAAACCCGAACAATATTTGCCCGGATGTGGAACCGTGTCTAATTCAGGGAAACAAATCGGGGAGCCTAAAGATGGTGTAGTTACATCGGAACTCTCACCAATTTGTTTGAAAACAGCTTTGAGTTTACCGAATTCATATGATGAAGAAGGACGCCCTACTAGAGAAATTAGTAGCGTAGTTATGACGACAGGTGGCTTTATATCGCCCGCTATCGAAGGCAAACTTCCCGACACAATAGTACCAAAATTTGTTGGTATGTGGATTTTACTTTTTAGAAATCTTTTGATTTCAAAAATTTTGTTTTGTTTCAGAAAAATTACTGGGTCTAGATGCACCTCCGCCTCCTATTTCACCTCCGCCGCCGGTTATTGAACCAAATGTGAACGTAGAAAATAAGCATCACAATAGTTCAACCCCTAAAGTAGATGTAAATGATACCGCCCTTCCGTTTTCCTCCCCAACTGCAAAAGTACCTACGATAATTGCCAAAACATTAACAAGTGAATGTGTCTCAAATAGCAATTTGCTTCTAGCATATAATTCACAAAGCACCCTTGTAAACAAAAATACTGCAGCATCTGACGTAGTAAATCCAATTGCATCTAAGAAACCTGTGCCAAATCTTTCCACACAGCACAATTTACAAGCGCCAACGATTGCGTCAAAGTTGCTTAAGAAGGCTAAAAAGAAAAATACACAAAATTTGCAACTTCCTTTATCAGGAAAATTTAATAGGCCAGCTGTACAAAATCCCGAAACTAGTTTGATTGCAGCTGGCATAGAAAGTTCAGATAGAATACAACGAAAGAGTAAGAAAATATTACAAAAAATGCTCAAGACTGGAATCGACTCCTCCACGCTGTCACCTGATTACTGCAACGCCGTTTTTCAGCGGATGAAAATGGACAAGTTCCTCAAAAAGCAGTCTAAGTATCAGAAAAAGTTATTGCATAAGCAAAAGAACAGCATCGAATCAAGTAAGCAGGATGAACCGGTGGGATTTTCGAAACTCGAAGATAAAATACCGACACCAGTGCCATCGAATGTTCAAACAAATAGCGCAATACCACCTTTAGCGGAGAGTGTATCGATACAACCAGTAATACAAGACACAGCTTCAGCTTGTCTGCTAAAACCGGATTCAACACAAATATCATCGGTGCTTCCGCAATCTTTGACCAAAGATAACAGATTCGATGGTGTGTGTAATGAATCGGTTCTTAATAATGTACAAACTCCTGCAAACTTGATTTTGCCTCACGATAAGAAGGCCTTTCCAGGAGTGAAGTTATCAGCAGAGCTTGATAAAAATAAATTAAATATTTTTAAGAAAATTTCCAAACAGAAAACACCAAAACCATCATCTCCGAATGTCAACCGTATGCTTTCGGCTCAGATTTATGGTAGCAATGAAGATCAACTTATTAATTTACCTTGCGGAACCACTATTACACCAGCACCGAAAACATTAAACCGCTTGACGACTGTCGACACAAGTTTGGCTAGTTCAGATTTGCTGGAAAAATCTTTAAATTTGCCTATTAACTATGAACTTACCGGTGGCATGGACGTGGCAAGCAATATAAATGGTAATAACATCCCAGGAGCTATGATGCCTAGTATATTGAATACTCCACCAGCACAACTTATCGAAGCAAATAAACCTAAAAAACGCGGTCGCAAGCCAGGCAGCAAAAATTCACCTAAACCAGCTGTAGCATCTCCGAACAACCCTAGTCAAGGAGCACAGTTAAAGAAAATGAAAAAATTAAAAGCATCAAAATATAACTATCCATTTCCACTTGCGAACTTCGAAACAGCAAGTTTAATAGCTAACAAAATGCAACTTTGCAACAGAACAGAAGTTTTCGCACCGAACTTAGTTCTTAGAGAAGATGCAGTTCCAACAAATATTTCGCCCAATACCAAAGAGCGAAAAGAGCGTAAAAAAGGTAAGGTGAAAAATCAGCCATTAAATATGTCGATCGGTGAACAAAGCGAATTCAAAGCTGAGCCTGGAGTCCCAACAAAGGAAGAAGTTAAAACCATAAATAAGAAGCTAATGCGTATGGACACTGTTTTACAACCACTGGGCGCATTTAATGAAACAATACCTGAAACAGATACAGATGTTGCAAAGCCATTTTCTGGTAAAATTTTACCTACGTTAAAATCATCCACAAGCAAAAAGCGACCTGCTCTTCAGATGCCACTTCAACATCCACCAAATTCAAGTTTAATGGCGGGCTTACACCCAAATATGTTTGTGCCTCCGCCTGGGCTTGGAAGAATTCCTAATTTGCTTAAACTTTGTCCTTTCCCATCGGGACCAGGTCTAATACCACCTACTGCACAAAATTTATTGTTTCCTCGCTTGCCACCAACATTTCATTTGCCTATTCCAACTTTTAGACCACAAAGTGGAGAAAAACTTGTACATCAAGGTAGGTGTCATTCCTTTAAAGAGTTCAATACTCATTCAATTAATACTTGAACAAATATCTACAAAATAATTTTTAGTGAATTTCTTGAAATTTTGAGCCGTTTTATATCTACAGATTGTTCATATATCGATATAATTTTCTGTACGTTTAATAGAACCACAGAACAATGGAAAATCGGTAGATGCACATCTATCGCAGCCAAGTAGAGAACGTAATTATTGCAATGTTCCACCATTCGTCCCTGAGTCAATGAATTTATCGCCACCTGAGGCTAAAGCCGATTTTCGAAAATTTGGAAAAGAAAGTCCAAGGTCTACCAAAGCTCAGCAATCACCTGACAAAATACTTAAAGTCCCTGACAACTGGGGTACATCGGATAATACATTTAAGTCGCTAGCACAAGTGCCTGGTGATGTGTCATTGAATGTAAGCGAAGTTCAGAAATTAAATGAAAGAACGAGTACTAAATCGCCTAAAGCAAGTGCGGAAAATCCTATTTTCATGGGTGGCATATATTCTATAAACATACCGCCTAACAAATTTGTGGCGAATTCTTCTACTGTTGCCCCCATACAAAATAACGATGACCCGATTGAACTGTCCGACGACTCTGCTGATTATCCACCATCGATATTTAATATTTCCAGTGTACAGAATTCCAAAGACCTGAGTCATAATAAGCTTCAGTTAACCACGCCTGTAAATTTCTCTCAAATTGATGATTTATTTTTGCCTTCGGGAAGCGATACTGCCAGAGATCTATCTGGTGAACTAGATTTGAGTTCGAAAAAGTCAAAAAAGATCAGTAAATTTGCGAAAAATACTAAAAACTTGTATCCCCATCCAACAACAGACTTACCCCCAATCGACTTATTCAGTGCTGAAAAGGTTGGAGTTGGTAAGTTGGCTGGTGGCGCAGATCTAATACCGTTGATATCGACTGGTTCAGCGTATTCATCGAAAACCATACCCCCGACAAGTTTAACAGCAACTGTAGCAGCACCATTTGTATTACCCAAGAAAGACTTTCCCCCACCTAACACGTTTGAAAATGCATTGTTGCCTGCAAACGTCGACAGCAGTGGAATTTTATGTATGAATACAGAACTACAGAAGAAAAAGAAGGAGCATAAAAGATTAAAAAAGCTAAAAGACGATAAAGCGAAAAAGAAAAAGGATAAAAAGTCCAAAAATAAAGAGCGCGTGGATCATCCGGAAAAGCTTCTACATAAAACTGATAAGCTGTTTAAGGAAAAGTTAAAGGAAACTATGCGATGTGGTGAAGAGCAAAACTTGTTGAATAAGGACTTATTGAAAAAATTAAAAAAAGAAAAGAAGAAAAAATATAAGCAGGTACTTTATTTTTTCTTATTATTTAGTACCAATAATTTTGTAGATGAAAGAAATAATTCCGAAGCTTACCAAATTTTTATAATTTCTTGACATCTTTGCTGAAATTATCCCTCTAATTGACTTTAAAAATCTTATTTAGTTACTTACTGATGCCACTAAACAGGGTGACGCAATTCCGGTTATCGATTCTCCCGGCGTCTGTGGTGTGGATAAGCCAGCTAACATTTTTTCAGTGGGCAGTTCTTTACAAAATTTTACTCCAACAACAACTGTAGCAAGTTCCGTGACATCGTTAGTACCAAAATTAACTCTTAGACTTGCTAGCGGACAGTCACCAAATCAGCTCGATGATATTGTACAAAAGCATTTTCCTAGCACAACTGCTATTCAAAGTACAATTGCTATTCAAAGTACAACTGTTTCTCAAGAGTTTGCTAAAAAAAGAGAGCCATCGCCGGAATTAGCGAGAATTTCGCCGCTTGTTACTCGACCACCGAAACAAAAATTTAGTATTGGTAAGAATTGCCCATAACCAGTTTGCAAACCTCTACCACATGTGTGGTAGATCTACCGCATATTTTTTAAAATTTGGGTGTCTACCACATCTACCATACAAGCCTTAAAATCTAGCACATTTTTAGACAGAAAATTTGTTTACAATTTTCACATACCTCTAAAATTTCAACTCAATTCTAATACGAAATATAAAAATTAATCAATAAATTTTTAAAAATGTACATCATAAATTTTGCTTTAAATATATCTGTGACCTCAACTTTTTAATATTTCAAAAATCCTCATATTTGTATTTGCTAAAGTATTATGCAATGGAAAAATAATTTGGTCGATTTTTTTTTGCATAAATCAATCTGTAGGATTTTTCTCAAATTACTGAAAATATTTTTTTCTTCATGCTTATATTCTCTAACTAGAAAACTAATGTTATCCTTTTGTTTGGCATCAACTGCGTTGAATCTGTACGATCCACTAGCACTTATATTTCCCGATCTAATTTTTGAGTTGCGCCTCTTTTGACGAGGGTGTGCGATATGTATACCCAATAAAAATATGAATTGGAAAATCTACCGCATCTTATTAAAATCTACCAATTTTTTTTGCGGATTCTACCACACTAAAAGAAAAAGGGGTTTGCACACTGCCCATAACTTTGTTTTAGTCCCACTTGCTCACTTTTCTTCTCCCAAAAGCCGAAACTGCAACAACATCACCACTCAATTCTAATCAATTCGACTCAATAGCGCCTAGTGGCACTAATACTAACATCAATTTAGATTCTCTTGCGGAAAAAAGTGCTAGTGCTTCAAAGCCTCCTATCAATACAGACGTACATTCCATTGTGCCTCCACCTAGCCCTTGGTCGTCTGGTGGGACAATATGTGCGAGTTCCGTTTTACTTCCGCAGCAGTTATTACAGTCATCGAGGTCTCAAGAACACTTAGCCTTCAGCAGTAAGGCAGATGGAGGGTTATTGGTAAACACCATCACAAGTACTGTTCGCTCATTGTCTTCGTCTGAGCGTCAAAGTCCAGTGCCGTTAATTTCAGAAACAAGCCGCCCATCATCATATATTGTAAGTTAATTTAAGTAAAGCTGAAGTGAAGACTTCACTTAACTACCATTAATTATAAGGATGCTGAGGGCAATCGTGTATGGATCTGTCCTGCATGTGGAAAAGTAGATGACGGCTCCCCCATGATTGGCTGTGATGGCTGCGACGCATGGTACCATTGGTATGTGTTGTACTTTCTACTTGTGTTTACCGAATTACATATTTGCATCGTGTATTTCAGGATATGTGTGGGAATATCCGTTGCACCAAAAGATAACGAAGACTGGTTTTGTCGCGTTTGCATAACTCGAAAGAAAGGCATTTATGCCACTGACAAGAAGCGTAAGCGGAATAAAAAAAAGTAGTTTTAATACATAATCATAAGCAATTATAAAAAACAAGTAGAAATACATACAGCCTTAACGTTAATCCCATATGAACAGTGATTCTTAAACATAAAAATTAAAAATAGTTCGAATTGATTTTTCTTGTAAATCTATGAGAGAGAATTATTCACTTGGAAATCCTGATATGGCTAAGTTTCATAAATAGTCTGCCACCCATGTCTCAGAAAAAACATTGACTCACGGTGCGCGACTATTACTATCACACAGTTTGACTAGTTACAAACACGAAGTTTGATTTCAATTGGAATTTGTTAATTTTGTTACATAAAATTTCATATTAACATTTTAAAATAGTTGTTTGATTGCGAGCTTGTTAGTGTGCCTAATTCATAGCGGGTTTCTAATAATTGGGCATTTGGATTATTGTAAATAAAAACGTTGCTTACCCACTTTGTTGCTTAAGATTATCCATTCGTTGCTTTTCCAGTTTACTATGGCGCGTACTGGTTAAGGTAAGTATGTTAGGCTAAGATCCCATTATCGGCGCAATGGACCGATTTTCGGCTTATTTCATGTACCGATAGTGTGATCAAACAAATTTTTGGAAATGCGGACAAATTTTTGGCAATGTAAAAAATACAGCGATTTTTGTCGGGCGGTCATGGCCCGACCAAAGTTGACGATTTGTTTATTGTTAAGAGCCTATCGGACGTGGCAATGCAATAGGGGTATTCTCGAAATCTTGCAAAGCCGTTGCACGTAGCACGGATTGCACGGATTGCATAACTTGCAAACACAACAAAATACATGGGATACAACATTTCCCATCGCTGCAAAAAATGAACGTTGAAACCCATGCATATATTTTGCAAAAAAAACATAGCAAAATAAATGCGACCCTGTGCTAGTTGTTTTGTTGTTGGAATTGCTACATATTTCTATCATTCCTCTCATCTCGCTCACTTCATTTTTTTTCGCTGTCTCTCGTTATTCTATTTTATACAGAATTTCGCTGCTTCTCGTACTCTTCCAAATTTGGAATTGTATTTTTGCATTTCATGCAATCCGTTTATCGTGCAAAACTTCGAGAATACCCCTAATATATTTTGAAAAGGCCGTCAGACTGAGAAATTTCAGAAACAGTTGCATGAGCAGTCACGCCTTGCATGTAAAGTGTCTTTAGAAATAGGTTTTTTATTTCCGAAGGCGAATTGCAGATTGCTAGTGCAGCACGAGCAAGGTGAAATATTTTTCCGAAATCCATTTGCGCTCTCTCAATCGCTGTCATATCTTACAACTTTTATTTCTGAACCTGATTTCCGAAATGTGACAGAAAGGTCTTTTTGACTGTTCACTAGGGTGGTCCAAAAACAGTAAAGTCGGCATTGTAATGCTTTCATCCCCTAGGATTGTTCTATATGGAAAAAAAGTATACCCCTATTTTTTATTTTGAGATCAAAATATATTTAGAGGTCGCTCAAAGGGCTCAAAGTTTTCCTGTATATTTATATGGGAAAAATAAATTTTTTTGTAGAAAGGGTATAGAATTTTTGAAAGTCAATATTTTTCGATCGGAAAACTGGTTCTCTTCAGGAGACTTTTAATAATAACACCCAATTGTTTATTTAACCATTTTTTAATGCTAACGATTTTTTATCTCTTCAGGAGACTTTCAATAATAACACCCAATTGTTTATTTAACCATTTTTTAATGCTAACGATTTTTTATTGGTCGCCCCATTGAATTTTTCGGGGTTTTTGTGGGTTTTTGGCGGACCTATAAATAATAGTTGCAGTGAAAAATGGTTAAATAAACAATTGGGTATTGTTCAAGCATTTGAGCTCTCACTATACCTGTCGTCGCATACCCTTCGCCCTTTCGTTTTCGATAGCTACGCCACTGGCTCATATTTTTCATTTCTCATGCTTCGGTCGCTCTACATTGCACTTTCGTTGCTGCAGTGCACTTCATTGTTGTTGCTAACGCACCGCTAATCAGCAGCTTATGCAAAGGTGTGTGCATAAAAAACAAAATTTTTGGACCATCGTTGCGCGCGCCACTCGTCGTAGCTGTTATAAATTCTTCGCTGCACAAACAACAATAAGCATCGCTAAACCACACAATTCATATCGCTCTTCTCCCTCTATTCGTCGCATAAGCAAATAGTTTTAAGAAAACGCTGTACAGTCCATTTAAAGATCTCCTTGGGTATGGGGAAATAAACGCATAAAACTATACTTTGATTTGTCAAATTATTTTTCGCATTCGACAGTCGGTAAAAACCATTACTCGGCTCGACCAAAGTTCTTCGAGCCGGATCAGAACGGCAATCAAAAATAATTTTCTGTATTTTCGCACCGTGAGTACTGACCACTTAACTTTAAACAAAAAATTCTTGCCTTGAGAAAGGATGCAGAGGGCAATGCAGAGCCAATTTGCCGCCGCCACCACCCACCACTTTCGAGCGCTTGCAATCAGAGCTGGAACTTCTAGATGACTCCCAATTTGAATTAGATCATCGCATCGTCTTCGAAGAGTCTTTTTGTGAGGTGTAAAGTGCCATCGCCGACCGTATAGCTGTACTTCGAAAGAGTGATGGCCTCAGTAGCACCATAGTCCCTGCACCAAACTCTTCATCACCGCCAGCGCGGCATAGTTTGCCTAAGCTGCAGCTTACTAGATTTAGCGGCAAACATACTGAGTGGCTAGACTTCTACAACATGTTCAAGATCCTTGTACACAACAACGCTGGACTTGATGATATTGAGAAATTTCAATACCTGCGTTCTTCCTTAATTGGCATTTCGTTTAATCCAGTCGTTGGAAGTTACGCACGAAAATTATCACCGCGCTGTGGAATTGCTTGTTAACCGCTACGACAATAAGCGGTATATTTTTCAATCACACCTCCAAGCTATCTTCGATAATGAGGCACTCAGTCATCCAACCGTCGCTTCTCTTCGGGAATTCATCGATTCCATAAACGCTCATCTACGTGCCATGCAGTCATTGGCATCGCGCAACCAAATCGCTGACGGGATTTTACTCCATCTCATCGTGGCAAAGTTAGATCATGAAATGCAGCTCAAGTGGGAAGTGTCAGCGAAGTGGGACAATTCTGCAAATACGTCGCTCCAACTTCCATCGGGGGATGATCTAGCTTCGTTCATTGAGCGCCGCTGCCAAACAGTTAAGATGGTAAAGGTCAGCAGAAGCGCATTGGGTAAGGTCACGGCAGCAAAAACCCCAGCCCGTTCATCGAAGGTTAGTTCAGCATTGGTCACTTCATCGAGCAAAAACAAATGCCCACTGTGCGATGAATTCGGCACACACAGTGCTTTAAAATGTGACAAATTCACCACCAATGCAGTGGTATGATCTTGCTAAGAAGAAAAACCTTTGCTTGAACTGCCTGGGTAAAAGTCACGTATCGAGCAAATGTCCATCAACCAATCGGTGCCAATATTTATTTATTTATTTATGTCTAAAGTTGTAAGTGGTACAGACATTATGAAAAATTACAAGCTATGTAGTTAAATTTTTTGGTACAATTTGAAGCGTTAAATGAAGTATGAGTAAATACAATAAAGGCTAATATAAATTTTTGCACAATAAATAGTTTTTCAATTTAGTATAGATAATTGATTTTGATTCCGACAAGTCAAGATCCAAAAATTTTGAGAAACAGTTGTACTCGGTCAAAGTCCTGACAATGGGGGCATTTGCATTGTAAACTGTTTTATTTAAACCAATACGAAAAGTATCAAAGCGACGAAGGTTTCTACTCGGCACGGTGAAATCTATCAACCCAAGAAGGGACGAGCAGTCGACTTTACCCAAGACAATGTCAAGAAGAAATGACACGGACAGAAGTGAGCGTCTATTGTTTAATGTTAATAAACTAATCAATTGGCAACGCGACTCGTAAGGTGGAATCGGTTCAGAAAAATTTAAAGTGTGCAGAGCAAAACGTAGGAATATTTTTTGCACTCTCTCCAAACGATTGATGTGAATAGCGTGATACGGTCTCCAGATAAACGCGGCGTATTCCAGTTTAGACCGTACAAAGGCAGTGAACAAAGTCTTAAGTGTGTACGGGTCAGAAAATTGCGAAGAATGTCGTCTAACACAAGCTAGCATTGCGAGAGAGTTTGAGATGGTATAATTTATATTCGCATTAAAATTATACTTGGAATCAAAAAACACTCCCAAGTCTTTAAACACATCAACTGATTTGAGAACGGAATTAGCTAAATGATAAGAAGTGGACAGAGGTTTAGGTAGTTTAGAGAACGTGGCTTTGTGGCATTTATTGATGTTAAGGAAGAGATGATTCTTGGAGCACCAATTATAGAGGTTGTTGAGTTCAGATTGAAGACTGACCGAGTCGCTATGACATCTAACCTCAGAGTATACTTTCAGGTCGTCCGCGTAAAGAAGAAAACGAGCTGAAGAGAAACACGACGATACATCATTGATAAAAAGAATGAAAAACAATGGGCCCAAGATACTACCCTGAGGAACTCCAGAGGTTGCAATAAATGGTTTAGATGAGAGACCATCTATAACAACACTAGAACTCCTATTTTCCAAATACGACTTGATCCATTTCAAAAAAACAGAATGGAAACCAAAATTGGCTAGTTTAACAACCAATATTTTGTGGGAAATTTTATCGAAGGCTTTGGAGAAATCGCTGTAAATTACATCAACCTGATAGCCACGTCGGAAAGTCGCAAAGCAATCCTCTGTAAAAACAGAGATTAGTTAACGTGGATCTGGCCGCCACGAACCCATGTTGGTTAGGACTAATCAAATGCTTCACAATGAAATGCAGCTTATTGTTGATAATGCATTCGAATAGTTTTGAGACCGACGATAGCTTTGAAATTGGCCTATAATTCGTAATATCGCTTTTACTGCCACTTTTAAACACTGGGGTTATAGTAGTACGTTTCCAATCATTTATGAAGGTACCTGTAGATAGAGACCTATTATATATTAAAGTGAGCGGTGTCGCTAAAGATGCACAATTTTTCAGCAGTATGACTGAAAGACCATCCACATCAGTCCGTGAGGAATTTTTAATTTTATTTATGCCTTCTATAACGTCAGCCTCCGTGAGAGTGAGTGATCCAAAATCAAAAATTGAAAATAAGTTATTAGAGTGGTTTCGACGAATGCTATTCAAATCTTCATCAAGAACACCATCATCAGTCGCAAAATTAGATGAGAAGAAGTCAGCAAATAGATTAGATGCTTCACTCACGGAGGATGCAGTGACACCATTATAGAAAATATTTTTGGAAATGCTACACATATTTTTCCTAGACTGAATATAATTCCAAAAATTCTTTGGGTTATCTTTGATATTTAATTCAAAATTACGAATGTAGTTATTATATAGGTCCTTATTTAACAGGGAGAATTTATACTTATAAGAAATATACAAATCATAAAA